AACAGTTATCTGCATGGAAAGAATCTTCGTAGGTACATACCTGAGTGATAAAGCTGTGAGCACCATTCAAGCCTTCCTCTTCTCCTGTATTAAATAAAAATATAACTGCATTCTTAAACCCGTGAGCCCATTGAGAAACTCCTCGAGCAAGCTCAAGCATAACAGCCACACATGAACTGCAATCACCAGCTCCTTCCCTGGACAGGAAGTCGAAACAAGAATTACTGCGTATTTGGTTAGCATCTGGGATTTATCCAATTCCCTTAGAAAGGATCGTGTTCTCCTAATGCTTTCCTCCAACACAATTTTCAACTACTCCCAAACAGCGTAGAAAATCATATAAAATGAAATCATTGATTTCAAAGACAAACTACAAAAAACTACACTGAAGTCATGCTAATTACATAAAGAGAAAGATGCTTATATTTTAAGTGCTCCCTCGAAGAACTACCTAGTCCCGTGTTTTACGAATAATTGCGTCAATAGAGGCCATTCATAAAATAGAATCAACTCATCAAGTATTAAGAGCATTTCCAATTGCCTATGGATTGTCTTGTTATAACTTCACGTGGGCAAAAGAAATCTTATGTGGCATGGAAAATGTCCGGAAGTCTTTCTAAATTTACGATTTCTAAAAATCTTCTGCCTAATAATTTATTGTTACTTTCCTTGCCCTCTCTCCTCTTCAACCAATCATTATATTACACATGCCTGTTATTCAACAATCCACATTAAACATTGAAGATACAATTACTTATTTCCCTTTCTTCATGCCACACATCTCAAAATGGACATAATGCCATTAGAGACTCTAAAGGGGTCTTTGAAATGTACAGTTGAAAGCAGAAATGGCTTCCGATATGCTACAGATTCAAAAAGTATTCCAAACTTACGCTGCAAAGACGGTGTCAATGTGGGAGGAGACTAGGATTGAATTTTCTCGTGCTTCAGATCCATATTTGGGCATGATTCTTAGTACGATGTGATTCAAATCTGAATAAAGAAGAGTTTTCCCTTTAAAAAGGCCACCAACCAGATTGTTAGCACCAGACTTCACGTGGAACAAATCCACTTCCACATCCACCTCCCAGTGAGCTGTTTTTTTAATGCTTTCTGCTGCTTCTGTTACATACTGTTTGCAGCAAACGAGCAAAAGATGAACTTAAATTAGCCATAGCTTCATAAGACCATTAAAATAAAAAGATTGAGGTGGATTGTAACCACAAAACTAAAAGACACATAAAATGCGACACATGTCTTTCAGCATTATTGGCGAACTTCACGTAAACATTTATAATATCTCGAGGAAGTTAAACATTTAGGCAATATGTTCATTTTGAAGTATAGTTGTTCCTCTTTTCTTCTTTGAGGCAATACTTCTACAAAATACCATCAATCATATCAGCAATATAACATTTTATGACTCGGCTAGCCTAAAGAGACATTCTAAAGTAAAATTGGTAGCATTTAGTCATCTACTTCAAAAGACATGAGCAAAACAAAAAAAAAAACCTCGAAAGTATCAACAAAGAAAAAAAAATAAAATCAAAGCCGGCAATAGTATTCAAGCTTTCACAACTGAGACCCCTAATATAAATCACCTTTAGTGCACTCTCGAGGGCATCAGAAGCAACAGGATGTGGACCCAACCGAGTCAAAGCTTTCACATGCTTCATGGCTTCAAGCTCAGAAAACCCCCTTTTTCCCACCTGCTGGGAACTCAAAGGCACAGGCAGATGCACAAATTGATAATGATACACTCCCCAAGCCCCATATAAAGCCATCACAAACAAGGCAAATATCACATAAGTTGACCTCTTAGCTGCCAATACTACATTTTTGTCCTTCAATGATGTATTCCCTCCGCCATTACTATTTTCTTGATTTCTTGATTCACCAATAGCTGAATTTGACTTTGAGGGAGCAACTTTAGGCCTCTGTTTCATCTCTCTCCAACTTTTTTTATTTTATTTTTTTCGATTAGAGGGATAACAAACACGGTCCTACAATCGAAAGAAAACAAAGTATCTTTACATCAAAATTATGAGCAAATTTGTACTTTACCTTCCTCACCGGATTTTTTCACACACACTGAAAAAACACCCATATGGAGGTGTGTTAATCCAACAGTAAATAAACCCAAATACGAATTTCTGCAAAATTATGAACACGCACACAGAGCAAAGGTTTTCAGCGAACATGATGAATACATTACACGAGTGATTAATGCACAAAGGCCGATTTTTTCCACAAATATTGAAGAATACAATAATACAANGAGCACCCCAAACACAAGAAACAGATTCTACGAAAGAAAATAACATGAATTTTCACGTACACTTACAAATCACTAATTCACACCATGATCACAAACGAAAACATAAACAACAAAACAAAAACAATAATAATGCAAGAGGACCTTTACCTGCAGTGACGATCGATATTCGAACTGAAATCTAAATGGACGGTTCAAGGAGATGATGAGACGAGCAAACGAAAAAAGTGGACTTGTTGGTTGAGCTAACTATTAATAAAGTGACAGTTTATTGCAGTGACGTGTAGATTGGGTCGATGCACAACGAAATAGACGACGTCGTACTGCTGGTATTTAGTATGTTAGTATCCCAAGTTGTTACTATTTACCTCTCCTCTATTACTACGTACCGCCTCCTTGAACAATTTTACCCTTGACACTCTTTCAAAAAGTAAAAAAGGCAGTGAATAGCGATTCACTTTTTCTAACACCAGCTCGTCTAGAATTTTTGTGTATCAAATTATCCTATATATTAATTAATATATAGACAAAATTGCAATTTTAGTCATGTTGATTTAATCCAGTGACGTTTTTAGTTATAAGAATTGTCACTAGTTGATCCTATGATTTTAAAATTCAACGCAATTTCAGTCCTTTGGGACTGAAAATGCGACAAAATTTAAAATTACAGGACTTAAATTGCTAATAAAAAAATCTTTTGGATAAATTTTTTATTAGCAATTTAAGTCCTGTAATTTTAAATTTTGTTGCAATTTTAGTCTCAAAGGACTGAAATTGAAGCAAAATACTACAGGATCAAAAGTAAAAAAGTTGAAATCTTGGCACTAAAAATGTTACGACATTAACCAGCAGAAGTAAAAATACAATTTTGCCTAATATATATATATATATATATATATATTAAATCGGTGGGCTGGCACGTGGACTAGCTTGTCCAGCCCTAGTCCACAGCCCGCGCGGACTGGCCCATTAAGGCCCGCTTCTTGACGGGCCTAGAAAAATCAAGCCCAACCGATTCCTTCAGTGGGCGAGGCGGGTTGGCCCGCAGGCTCATATTAAATTATTGTATTGACTTTCTAAAACTAGTGTGGAGTTTTAGATTCTGGTTGATTTGTTAATGATAAGTTTCTTTTTCAGTAAAAATAAATAAATAAATAAATAAACTAGTGTGGAGTATGGAGATTCAAGTAAATTCATGAGAGAATATATGAAAATATGAGAATTAGTGAATAGTATTTTTTTTCAATAGAATAATATGTTCATTTAAAATTCTTTGTTTTTATTTTGACTAGTGATTTATGAAAATTTATCGATCTTAAAACTTTATATGACAAATTAAAAAAGAAAATAACATAAAAATTTGACTTCGAAACAAAATTTTAAAAGGAGAAAAGTGCATTTTTCGTCCTGTAAGTTTACCCCTCTGAACAATTTAGTCCTCTTCGAATAGCCAATTTGAGTTTCGTCTTCTAACTTTAAAAAAAGGTTGTAGATTCGTCCCCGACTCGCCGGAAACCCGTTAATTGGCCGAAAACACGCACATGATGAAAATTAATGGCTCTTTAAGCCTACGTGGAGCCGGATTTTCCACACTGGCGACCTTATTTACAAGTGGAGGACAAAAAAACCCTAAATTCGAGGTGAAAATGGTTCATTTTTTTAAAGTTCGTACAATTAAAATGAAATGAGGATCTAAATTCCGTACATTATAATGAAATTAGGTGAAGAAAAATTTCGAAGGTGAAGGAAAATTAGGGTTCTTGAACGAAATCGACAATTTGGAAGAACAAAATCAACAATTTTCTCAACAATTTTCAAAATTAGGGTTCTTGAAGATTTGGGGATCTTGTGATTTGGGAAAATAGGGTTGAAGGAGGATGGAAACGATTCAATATCAGAAAACCCGTTTCATTTTATGCCCGGTTCTTTTCGAAGTGTTTCGGCACGTGGATTTTTTTTTTCGTTTATTTTCTGCCCTCCACGTGTAAATAAGGTCGCCAGCGTGGAAAATCCAGCTCCATGTAGGCTTAAAGAGCCGTTAGTTTCAATCACGTGCGTGTCACGTGCGTGTTTTCGACCAATTAATGGTTTTCCGGCGAGTCGGGGATGAATCTGTAACCTTTTATTAAAGTTAGAGGACGAAACTCAAATTGGCTATTCGAAGAGGACTAAATTGTTCAGAGGGGTAAACTTACAGGACGAAAAATGCACTTTTCTCTTTTAGAAGTTAACATCCAATCCTCAAAATTAAGGTCAATGGTTCAAAATTAGCAGACCCAGAGTAGCTACACGTATAATAAAACAGACCTGAAATTTCTTGTTTTTCAGACAATGGCGATTGATGAGACTATATATATGACATACTTACATATTTATATGTACTACACAAACATACATCACATCTAAAAATTATTATGTACTACACAAACATACATCACATCTAAAAATTGAATAGCACAAATGCCAACCTGCAAAAATCATGCAGCACTTGAGTCAAGGCTCGACTCGAGCTTGATTCTAACTGAGCTCGAACACTTCAAACCAAACTCGATCCGATCTCAGGCCTATATATCATAAGCTTAAGTGCCAACGGGCCGCTTAAGTATGCATTTAATTTACTTAAATAACCCAACTCAAGCTAAATTCGAGCCAAACTTGAACTAATTTCAAGCCAAAGTTGAAAAAACTCTTATTTTACAAATTTCAATCCGAACTCATAAAATTTGAACCGATCTCAAGCATTTGTATAGTTTTAGTGAGTCGAGTCATGCACCAAAAATCTTGGCTCGTTGAACTTGAGCACAATGAAAAAACCGAGCTCTGTTCAAGTAGATCATTGCTCGACTTGGATCGTTTGTAAGTTGTAACCCTCGCTGGCCATTGTCCTGCAAGATACTTGCCATATAATGACACTTTCAAAAACAATAACAAAAAAAGAAAGTCTCAAACCAGTCAATAATGAGTCAAAAAATAAACCAAGCGTACAATGTAATCCCATCAAAATTAAATCCCAGTCAAAACAATCCAAACTCTCCCGTCTTCTAAATGAAAATTATTATTTCTATTTTTTTAAAAACAAAAAAGAACTGAAGAACACATTTATTAGATAAAGGACAAGTTTATGAAGGCCAATGCAAAGCCATTAAAAGAACCATCTGGTGGCTGCAACTGCAACACCAAAGCTTGCTTATAAAAAACCATGCGATTTATTGCAGACTCAAAGCGTCCAGGTGGTAGAAAAGCATACCCCTGAAAATTCAGAAAGTTGCACAGTTAAAGAATATTATCTCAATAATAATAATAATAATAATAAGGGTAAATAATTTTTTCCAACCTGTACTATACGTGCTTTTGAAATTTTCAACCTAAAGTATTTTTTGTTATAAAATGCAACCTGAACTACATATACAGTCATTATTTGCACAATCGACCACATCTTGACCATACACGTGTCCTTTTCTACATATGATCGGGCGGTCAAAAAGTAGTCGAGCGTGCAAATAATTGTATATATGTAGTTCAGGTTGCATTTTACAAAAAAAAATACTTTAGGTTGAAAATCCCAAAAACACGTATACTACAGGTTGGAAAAAATTATTTACCCTAATAATAATAATAATAATAATAATACTGAAAAAAATAGAAGGGAAGGGTCTTTAACAAATTTATAGTTATTAATGTTGCTTAAATACTAAATGGCATTACAAATCTAAGTTGAGCTGTCGAAATATTTTCAGTCTGAACTATACCTGCAGCATTACAGTCTGGAACACTGGAGCAAGTGAAATATTAGAGTCGACAAAAAACCTCTCCACAGTGAGCATTTGGAGATTTCCTGGTGTGGTCTGTAGCATGTTAAGAGCAGCTCGATTTGCATACACGCATACTGTGTCAGACTGCAGCAGTAGAAGAAAAACTTCGTCAAATATAAATTATCATAGAAGACAAACATGATACTGAGAATAATCTACATTTATGTACCTAATTACACAAAAACCAAATGATATGACCACCATACCCGTGTGGATTCACATTTTCTTCACAAATATCCCTTTCAACTAGTTTTTGGACTTTTGCCTCTCATTTTGGAAATATAATAATATATATAGTTTGGACTTTAGTAGCTAATTTTGTAATTAATCGTTGATATAGTTCGTCATCTTTTGCAAGTTGAAGAACAGAATACGAGATGCATTATAATGCAGAGATAAGAAATGCAGTGTGATGCTTCCACTTCTAAGTTCGACATCCTTTTCTATAGTTTAAGAACAGAATAAGAAATGCATTATAATGCAGAGGGATAAGAAAAGCAGTGTAATGCTTCTTCCATTTTTCAGATTGAGAAAGAAAAATGTAAGACAATTGTGAGAGCACAACAAATAACAGCCCACCAACAAATCAATGCGAAACAAACATAACTTGTAACAAACACATTTTAATTGAACGTTGAAAGCATCAAGCTTTAACTTTTAAACAGCACCAAATATACTCTTTTCACCACCATACTGTTAAAAACTAATATTAACATACCATGGACGAGAAACAAAGTATAGCATAATGGTGACGTTGTATCTGATCGGACAATGAATTAGGAGTCTCAAGGTTCAAGCCAATCATATCCACACCTAAACTCGATCTGTATAAAACAAAAGTATTTTCCCAGGTCATTGACCAAGAAAGACTAGAACTAACACAGAACGATTGCAAATTCACTACATACTTAAATACTTTCCTGAAAAAACAAATGCCTTTTAGTGTAATAAGCAAATATAAATAAAATCACAACCCTTGATCAAGCGAAATGATAATCATAAAGTTTACACTATGAGAATAGTTGATAATAAGGTAAACAATGCCAGATGGACAAGAAATGAAAAAATCAACTTTTTTTTACTAACCTATAGCTTTGGTGTATCATGCTAGCTAGGTTCTCAGAAAATGTTTCTCGAGAGAAAATAGCACTACTTGCTTCTGCAGGGTTCACAAATCCAACGTACGCTACTTCCTCAGAAATCATTTTCACACAGGAAATTACATGTTTCACATATAGCTTAGCCACAGCTTCGATTTCATCCAGATTCTGTGCTTCATAAGGAAACTGAAAGGCTAGAACCAGCATTGAGGGTGGGAGGCCACTGCTTGCCTATGGCATTGTACATAAAAAAGGTAGTATGGGATTAGGGCAGAGAAAAAAGAAACAACAGTACTAACACAAAGGGCATTCGGTGAGAAGACTAAGGGTGTGATTGGATATAAACTTGACTAGTAAAAACCAATCAAAACTCAAATTTAACTCAACTTTAACCCAACCCTACTATTGTCAATATTATCAATATAATTAAAAAATATCAACCAATAATTGTTACACATTACATCAATTTTAATTCACTATTTATCCACTCACATAATTTTAACTAACCATCACTTCCAATCATTTTTCTCCTAATTTACATCAAATCAACTCTAATTATTTTATTTTAAATATTATTTTAATTCAAACTTAAATTATCACTAACAACTAACCATACCACCTTTTTCAAAATTAACCATGGTTAACAAAAAAACCAATAAAAATCCAATCAAATCCATCCATATCCAATCACATCCTAAAAAAAGTGACAGTACACTAAAGCCATTTTAGGAACTCAACTGTATCTGAACCCAACAAGAAGATTCGAAATCCACAAGATAAGTAAGAAGCATCATTGGGACTAGTTTCATCGATTGGTGCAAAGATTAGTTCTGAGCAAGCTCCAAAACCATTGTCTGCCATTCCATTAATCATCTGCATCAAAAAGGAGCACGGAATAAACTAGATCAGGCTATAAAAAGAATGAATTTTCCAATTGTTCGACGTGACAGACAAATCGCAATGAAGTAAATCCTTTTACTCTAGATGTCAGGAGGAGGAATTGTAGTTAACCAAGCTATACAGGTTATAAATGGATATATAGCCACCTAGCAACATAACGGTTAAGGATTGTCTCCATTTTGATATGCAGTATGCACTAAAAGCAACGCTCGACATTCATCTAGAAAAGCTTAATCGTTGTTCCCCATTCTTTAAGAGGAGCAGGATAGGTTAGGTTCATGGACATTTTCTCAGAGATTCGTGTATGGAACTGTAATTGACAGTGACGCAAAATAAAATAAAATAAAAAATAAAAAATTAATGGTTTTGCGCCTTGCGGTGCTTAATTTTCCTTTAATTGGACACATAAGAGAACGACACTGTATTAAAAAGAAAATTTATTCATATATAGTTAGTTAGTTACATAATATTCATATATAGTTAGTTAGTTACATAAGACTAGATTATTTACAATAAAGGAGGTCAGAATAAATCTCTTTGACTCTCTATCTTATTGTTGTGCTTTTATATTTCTGACTTTTCGAAATTATTTCCTGATCTTAGTTATGAAATCTGGATTTCCTTCTCTCTTCAACTGGGTTTGATCTCTATATGTTAGTAACGAAATGTGTGTACTCTATCATGAATTACCTGCAAATGAACAAAATCCCCCAAATAATAATTACGCTGGCGATCAGCACGGTCCAGACGAATAATTTCTACTGCCTGTCATAAATTATGAACAAGAGATTGCAAAAGCAATGAAATAGACTGCAGTAACTCACGTAAAAAAGAAAATTCAGCATCATTAAGCTCAACAAACCTCATCCTTGTTATTGGTTTGGCCAAACAGTGCAGAAAATTCAGATACACAGGAAATATCAATTCCTTGAAATGCAAAGGGAGCAGGACTTGAAGCTACTATATGATCATTAAAACTGAAGCCCATCCAAGCCGCACGACACTCCGCCAGAAGCTTCACCAAGCTTGCAGGGAAAACATTCTGCCACCAACAAAATATACAATTTCCAAAATAATAAGTAAAAAAGGAAAAAAGAAAAAGTTACACTGGGTAGTGCCAAAGCTTGATGAAAGTTGGCAGGCGCAACTTCACAAAGTAAAGATCCTCTAACAATACATCTTCTAGATCATGTTGCAGGAGAAAGACTTTACTCTTGACTAGAAATAGTATGACTCACTTGAAGCAGCAAAGAGGCCTTCAGACAAAGTATACTATCACAATTTGCATAGACTCCAAAATTAGTGGTTCGCTTGGTGGACATAATAATATCATCACTAGAATTAGCATTCATCAATGTCCATCCATCTTCAGAGAAACAATTGATAGCATCATTGAAGCTCCTAAACAAACAAACAAAAAAGAAGCACAGAGGTATTTAGTAATATTGAAGCTTGTGACAAATGCATCATAATCAATGTAATGCTTCACATCACCACATGCAGTCAAATACCTTATGATTTAAATCGTACAACAAAAATCTTGTGGTTCAGAACTAACTCAATTAGAGATCATATCATCAAGAATACAATGGATGTTTGACTGTACTGTTAGCTACAAACTCATTTACTTGATAATTTATTGAAATTTCATGCTCTGACCACTATAAATGAGCCCATCTCAACTTCAATGAGTGTTTCTGGAACTTTCTTAGACCACCAAACACATTGTTATTTCACTGTAGAACTTGAGTGTGCGTGATTCTTAAGAGCTATGCCACAGTGACAATATATTAAGGGGGCCCGCTCATCATTTTTAATGATATTTGGCATTTTAATCAAGTATTAATAATGGTGTGAAATTGACGAATATAACCTTCTGTAGTTTTTCTCTCCCCAAATCCCTATTTTTTCTCTCATTCATTCTTACTATTTTCTCTCTCTCTCTCTCTCTCATCTCTACACATTCGTTGTTCTCTCCTTCGATTAGTAATCCTCATAAGTTTCCACTTCTTATTTCCTTTGATATGTAAGTAGATTGGAAGAAATTGAATCATAATAATTTGGAAGATAATAGGCATCGTTGTTCTGCCATCCTTACCTAGTTACCCTTTTGGCAAATAATGTCAAAACATCATTTAATAGTGATATTAGGGAGTAGATGTCTAAGGTGAAACAGCAATAAATGGACTTGAATATAGAATGAATTGACATGTAGAGTAGACATGTTACCTAGAAAGTCTTAGGCAGAAGCATCTCAAAAGAGCAGGATCCTCATAGCAAGAATGTCTTGGGATGCCACTTGTCTCATTGGCCATATGCTCAATATAGAGAAGTGCCTATGTATAGGAAAATCAACTTGTCCAATATTATACTCATAAAACAACTACAAATTCTAGTAAATATAATGAACTAAGGACATTTTAACAGGTGTTGGCAAACCCAGAATTTGAATACATTAGCGTACGGTTTAGAATGGTACTTCGCTACTAAGAATATCTAATTTGGCTTTTTGACAAATGAAATTTCTGACTAAACTAAATAACTTCACATCATTCCATTGGGGGGTGGGGAACACATGTAACACTGATTCAGTCGGATACAATAAAATTAAATTAAAGCAGTATAGAATATATCTTAGGACTTAGAAGAGTTACCATCATACTATTTTTTTTCTTATCATGCCTTCAATCGAAAAATTTTAACTCCATAATTTTTTTCCTCATTTTGGAGGCAAGTTTCACATTCCTCTACTAAGAAAAATGGAAACTGATCAGTCTGAACTTCAAAAAGGAATAGAAAGATCAACGAAATCTAAAAATTTACCTCTTCCAGGCCTAAGTTTCCTATAAAGGTAGATTTCTAACGTCTGGAATTTGGTTTGCAAGGAAAATCGATACATTTCTAATGTTAGATCAAATCAATTATTTGGTGTTAAGGTAATAGCCGAGAACTCTTCTCCACATTCTAGGGCATTCTACATATGGAACTTACTGTTGACAATACATAGAGTGCATCAAAAGAAGTATGATGATAAGGTACTTCATCCATTCTTTCAGAAAAACACACACACTAGGTTCATGTATGAAAGGATCCTAATGTGGAAAATAATACTTCATTGCAGCCAAGCATGTCAATATACAGGATCCAAATATAACCCTTACTAAATATCACAAAANATTCATGTCATTTGTTATTCGTAATTCATTTAACTCAAATATTTAAAGGATCACATGTCATTGAATCACTCATTTGTTATTCATTTTATATATATACACGAACACACACACACACGATTCAATCATCTTTTCATGATTAAAGCTAGCATTAAAATGCTGCAAAAGAGCACTCCACTGGTGAAAATTAGTTTTATCAAGTGAAAATTCATAATTGCTGACAAAATTTGGAAAATATAAGCACTATCTTACAGATACACAAAGCACGGGGTCACTTAAAATAGCTGTGAATTACTGAAAAATAACAACAGTACTCTTGGGGGCAGATATTTTGGGATTCAAAATTTTCTCCTATGTCAACCATTAGATCACTACATCCAGTGGTTGAGATTTAACCATATTTCTCAAACTGGGATTTAATTCTCACAATAACCATATCACATACGGACAGATTTGAAAATGACTGGAGTCCTTTTATAAAATTAATATAGGAAAAAAATCTAGCGAACATCTCTTCAAGTGACTTACCTCCTCTGAGAGAAGTAAATAAAATATCCAGAGTTAGTAGTTTAAATTATATGAGACATAATAGGAAAATTTAAACTAGATAATCTACTCACTGGAACAATTGTCTTCTTCCCCAGAAGTTCAGATGACTCATACAGCGGGCGCACCACCACCGGAATAGATGATGCCTGCAACAAGTTCGTCACAAGTTTATCATTAACTCAACTTCTCTATCAAAAGTTCAAAGCATATAATTTCATGTTGTATGTGTAGCAGAGGAAGGAGAGTACCTCAAAATCATAGTGCTCAACAATATGTATGGTTGATCCCCCTTTGCCAGGACAAATCATATAACCACTAGCCAGCATCCTCCCTCTCACAAATTCAAGTGCAGCGGGAGAACTTGGACCAGCATCAGAATCAGAAATTGACTTCTCACATACCTTAACACGAAGTATAAAACATAGAATTGTACATTAACAAGAAAACTTTCACCATTTCAAAAGATTTGATAAAGAGTTCTGTCCATTGATCTTAATCAGTAAAGTCCGTAACATGAAACCCTCAAACTGATAGAATAATAGTCTGTAAAAGCTACAAAATAGATCAAAGCAAATTTACTTGTCATCTCGACATCACACTGTTCATCTAAGTGTTAGAAAAAGACAGTCATACCACCAAGCTGCCATCATCTAAAACAGAAGAGTATCTTAATGTCCAGAAATCTCGAGCCAAAGCCATGGTAGTTGGGGCATAGTACTGCAGGAAATGGGACAAAATAAGGCTAACAGAAAAAAAATATAGAAACAAAGGAAAGTTTTGGTAGAAAAACCAACTTCAAATGTAAAAATGTTCTACTTCTCCCCACCTTCGTGTAGATCAATTCAATAGCTCCCCCATTTGTAGGATACTCGGCAACAACATCCATACCACGACAAAATCGCGACCAGGAAGGGCGGTCCTTGAGCATTTCAAATGTCTGCAAGGAATTCCGTTCAAGCAAGCTAAAGAAATTAAAGTTGAACTGGTTGTTGGGTTTTCCTAGGTGATCTATTTAAAATGGGATTGATGTATAACATATTTATTTAGCTCGACTTGAAATGATTGATACTCGTGTTTATTTTCTTGTTTAGTTTCAAGGTCTCTCACAATACATCACTTGCATTGTATATGTGCGCAAGGGTGAACCTGTGAACTGAGGTGAGGCCAGGCCAAAGTTTTATCTTAACAAAAATAATTGAGAGCAAAATAAAAGAGAATGTCATGCATAAGACAAAAAAAAATAAAAAAAAATAAAAAATAAAAAATCTAAACAAAAACTAAAAACACCACTACAATCTTCTTTTATAGTTTTGCAAATTTTATGTTATTTTTCTCAGGTGGCTTCACATTGTCTATCTGAATATGCACTGAATTATTCATCAGCTCATCCCTCAATTGGTTAATGATTTGAAATTTACTAATTTTTGTAGCTGTAAAAACTCTTGACTGTATCAATTAATATAGGGACAATGATAACTGTATTAACAAACATACATAAGTGGATAAGTACAAAGTATTTTTTCAAGAAAAACTAAGAGAAAACGAGATACAGAGCAAAGAGGTCCGATTTGATAAACAATTGTTTATTTGAAAAAAAAAAATATTTTACCTTCTCTTATACAAATCTTTGAAAATTATACTAAAATAAATTATTTCTACAAGTAAATAAAAATCCAAGAGGGAACATGGTCCCACCTAGCCGATCTACACATCAATTATTGTGCAGAGGAGAGAAATCGAAACCATTTCAAGATAAAGAATATAAATAGCATGTTCCAAGAAGATAATTATAGAGCTTGCCTTAAAAGGGTCAAAAGTTATAGAAGCACACGCCCTAGCTGCCACTCCATCACAAGTAGAAGGGATGTATAAAGTACCGTATACACCTACACTGTCAAGCTGAGAAGTTGAAAAATAAAAGTGATCAACAAAAATGGGAAGAAGATTAGAAAACTCAAAAAACTCCGTAAAAATAAACAGTCAAAACCTTCAGCCCCGGAGCAAGGGTCCAATTAATAGCAGTTCCAATAGCTTTGGACAGGAACTCTTTCCTGATTTCTGCAGCCAGTGAGAAAAGGCTATACGGTAGAGGGAAAAAAAAAAAGCACTTAGCAGAATATGAAAATATTAAATAAACCGTATCAAATCTGCAGCCCTTATCAATACCTGTTATTTTTATCAGCCGCTGTACTACTCATTTCAGGGTGATGCTCTTCAAGCAGATGGTCCAAATCAAAGGTCGTAATATGAGATGTTAACTGCAACAATTAATTCAACTTATGAGTTTATACATCAAAAAAGTTTTTCCAGTTATGGAAGCAAAAGCAAATTCTTGAATCCAAATAAATTATGACATGAAAGAAAGCAACTTGGTCTGCAATTATTAATAAGAGCTCGTCTTACAGGGACCACGTATATCTCTATTCTCTCATAACCCTAATCTACGTATTACCAAGAACAAGAAACGTCCAAGACCTCTTTTTGTTAGTGTGCCCATCAATTTTATCACACAAGTTCAACCAAGAGAAATATCCTTGAAGAACAAATCTTTTAAAGAAGTATAAGTTGGCTGTTGCAAATGATACACTTTCACCCTAGTAATTTTAAAGGAGAAAATCACATAGTATAAATGTTATTTCTATCATATTAAAGTATTTAAAAAATTTAAATAGTAAAATTAAAAGCAAAACAACACTGGGAAACGAGCACGGCAGAAAAGTAAAGAAAAAATTCTAAACTATGAAAAANAAAAAAAAAAAAAGAAAAAAAAGAAAAAAGAAACAAAGTTAGCCTGGGCTCATTCTGTAAACTTAATCTATTTAAGATCTAAAACCAGCAAATGATAATGATAGGCAAAACTTCCTAGATGGACATTAATCATTAAGAGTGATGTAACGTACGTATACGTCAAGTATTTGATTCCGCAAATGCTCATTCTCATTTGTCAGTTGGGTAACCTGTTGCTGCAATTCATCATTCTCTTGCCTTAAAAGATTGTTTGCCGCAGTCAACCGCCTGTTTTCTAACATGATATCGTCACTTTCTTTCTTCTGCTTCTCACGACTTCTGGAAAATATGTAAAACCAAGACAAAGGAACTATTTTCACGTACTTCTAAACTAGTTCGAAGTCAATATAAAATTAAAAATGAAAGTTTGTTTTATTCTGATAGAAACCACAAGATTTCTCAAGATCATTTCTTCAACAATTGATAACGAATAGAAGAATAAAAATATCCAAATTTTTCTTTTAAAAATCTCTTTTGCCATAATTCAATAGCCACCTTTTTCTTTCATACACACTTCCCTACTTCTCTTACCAATCTCCATACCCGAAAATCTAGGGTTCTATCGGATACATTTTCATTAGAGAGGAATTTTTGTTCAAGAAGAAGAGTTGGTGAAAAAAATAATGATTTTAATAAATGTGAAGAGTAATCAATGATATCAAATGGCAGCCATGGAGGTATAGCTTGGTGGATTTTTGCGAAACCGTCAAGCAAAATTGTGAAGGAGGCGGTTATGGCAGTGCCATAACAATGGCGGGATTTTGGCCTGCGCCATCTGCCATTGATAACAGTGAAAATAATAATTAATTGTTGTGTGATATAGAAAAAGTAAAAGTAATGATTGCTCATCATAAATATTTGAGTGGATGAACAATAAATCTTATACAGAACCAACAAAGAAAACACAGAAGGCGGATCACCCCAACCAAAAAGCAGAGGAACAAGAAAAGATATATCGTAAATTCTTTACTTTAATGCCATTTTTAATGATTTACCTTAATTCAAATGGATTCATTTTACCTGTAATTGGTTCAACTACTCTATTACCTTCCTTTCTACTTTCTATTATGATGATACGCCTTAGGAAGAGAAGACTGTGAACGAAGGATGACACAACTTATGGGACTATTGTTAATAGAGTGAATGGTGATGGCCGGCCACTGGTAGGGGAAGAGTGATGATGCAAACACAGAATGATAAATTGCAATAATAATCATATAATGCTATATAATTTGATTTATCCTCAGACGTTCAACAAAAATTGTTATTAAATTTCAAAAGTTGAAACAATCTAGCAAAGATATTTTATAGGATATTATAGATAAATATAATTATGAATATCAACTTATTAATGGATAGGGGATGTGAGGAGAGATAAAAAAAATAAAAGAAAAGAAAAGAAAAATAAAATAAAAAACATATGANATGACATAATACATTATGGTGTTTGTTACATTTAATCCCTACCATAAGGCAAGCTAAGAAACACTTCTGGATTTATACTTTTATTTGAATGAAAGGATTAAGAATGAGGGAAGGATTAAAGAAAATAATAATAATTTAAAAACTCCATGTAATGACGAATTTGAAATTCACCTAAAATGACTCAAAAAAAATATCTCAATGAATGAATTTAAGGATTTAAGATCCTTTGTAACTTGTAACCAAGATTAGTCACTGTGGATTTAGAATCAGCAACTACCAATTCATACATACATTTGCTGCGAAAGAAAATTGGCTTTCTAAATCATTCATGCATAATCACTCACGTTAAATTTTCATTGTAACTATTCATATTGCAGGGAAGACTTAATAAGAAAACCAAGTATCCATCTACAAAAGGATGTAGGATGTTTCACCCTTTGGCTTAGTTTAATACCTCCTCGGTCCCAAGAAAGATAGTCACATTCTGAATAGAGTATTTAATCTATATGACAACCAGTCTAATAGAGTTAATTTATATGAAAACCAATATTACAGAAGCATTCAATAAAATATTTATCAATTTAGAACACTTTTTACTTGGGAAAGTACAATGATCGTAGTTTCTTGAAATGTGTGAAAATTGTCTCAACCTATCCTTTTTCGGACACAGGAAGTAGTATTTATAGTCATACTAATTCATTCCATAAAATTGAAACAAAAGTCATTTTTGGGATCTGTAGAAACTTGTGGATGTATAGAAGTAAGCGCTTATCTGGCTAAAAGATTCGAGTTTTTCAAAAATCAAACTTGTAAAGAGATCAAAAAGAATCTGAACAAAAAATCTGATCGACATTTTGCTCTTTCATAGCCGGTAGCAAGTCATAAATGAAGATGACAACTGTCACGCCAATGCTTTGCTAGATTCTTCAGCCAATTAAACCTTAACGAAAGAAGTTGACTATTATAGTCAAATTGACTTTCTATGAGTAAAAAGTTCTCCAAATTATCAGTAACAATATTGCAAAAAAGTAAATCTAATTAGCTGACAACAGTCAACCACAACATAAATGTAACTCATGATTTCCAAATTTTTGAAAACTAAGGCTGATTAAACGTCTAAGCATCAATCAACTCTAAATTGGCACAACCAAAATAACACCACTACATTCTTTTCAAATCTATCACAAGCCTTCATAGACCATAAAAATGTTACAATAAAGCTTATCTGATTATTATTATCTCTTTCTACTTTCTTCGTCCTTCCTTGTACTGTGGATGTGGGGGCTCACGGTAAATTAATAACCAATCAATAAATACATTGTTAAAGATAAATGAAATATTTTACCTTCTGTTCTGAAACCAGATTTTTAGCTGTTTGTTATCTAGGCCCCTCAAAGCAGGTTCTTCACGAATAATCTCTGCCCGCTGAAAACGATTTGGATTTGGGCACTCTGCATAACCTCTGTCAAGAGCCTCAATCTGTTTCTCGGTGTATCGAACATATCTCCCTGCATTTTCACCTCCAATCCTCACACCCTTATCTCTTCTGCTACCCTCAGTAATGGCCATCACAATTCTCTGAATTAGATCCACGTATAATCAACTTGTTATAAGAAATTGTGCTGACCACGAGTAAAACGCTAGAGTTTTTCAGTTTCAATAACCTAAAATATCTGGCAACCTACCTACGGGAGCTTTTGGCCTTTTATAGCCCAAGATCACAAATCCTTGTCTCCTAATAAAACTATCTAATAGCAAAACAAAACACTGGTTTCTTTTCAAAAAGTATATAGGAATTGGAAAAGTAGGTTACTGGAGGGCCTTTATCTACATTGGGCATGTGTTAAAATTCTATAGGATTGTTAGAGTCGGAAACAAACTCATTAAAAACCTCTTTAATTTGCTGCACTGGGCCAAGCTTCACTTGAGCCTTGGAAATATCACTAAAATCCACAGCTGTTTTTGTCTTCTTTCCATTTACTTTTGACCCACCAACTTTTACCAATAAAACTACATGAATCAGCACTCTCATTCAAAATCTGAAAGCCTTTTACATTTGCAATTTCCACAAATTAATCAATTAGGCCATCATCACGGGATAGCAATTAGACTGTGCTAACATCCCATCATCAGAGAAAGAAGCTAGCATAATTTGAACAGACATAACGTAAACAATGTGCATAGTCGCGATTTAACAAAACTAAGACTACATTACAAAACATGGATATGATTTAATTAAACTAGAATCAAAAGGAACAAACAAACATGTCTAACACGTGTAAGATACCTTTTATTTATTAATAGTACTATATGGGGACAATACTCAAAAAAGGAACATTCACCGGCAAATGCAAAAGTAGGCCAATGCCCACATCTATATGTTTTCCCCGAATGCAAACATCTCTACAGTGTACATAAAAAAATGACATGATTAAAAAAAGAAAAATCATTATTAATAATATACCCACACTAAAAATAACCAACTGACACAAATTTAAAGCACATGAAAACAAATGAGCCACCTGATTCCATAAATGCATCTGTTGGTTTGGAACACACAAAAATACATACTAGTTATAAACATTAGGTGATGAGTTCATAAATGTGAAAAGACAAACATCCTAAACAAAAATTTCTAGATTATCAAATTGTGTCTACACATTCATTTGCACAATAGACACATAAATTCAAACTTTGAATTTTCCCATACAAACAATTTGTACACACACAAAAAGGGGAGTGTGTATTAGGGATGGGAACCATGTTACAGTCCTTCATTGTTAGCTGGAGCAGACAAGTCTGATTTTCCGCGAGGAAAAACATAATTCTCCATAAAAGCATTCCAAATCAAAGTCATATCCCCTAGCTTCTTTCATTGTTCCTGAATATACGAATTGGGGAACTAAAAAGTATCGGGCTAAAGGAAATTGTATCTTTTATGGTTGAGAGAATATAGGGTAGATATGAAACTTCAGAAATGTTGGGGAACATTGTAATTTCCTGAAGGCATTTACCTAAATCCAAAGGTCAACTTTTATCATCCTTAAAAAACATAAAATAATGATTTTGTATCAAAAGATATATTTAAGATTTTTTATTTTGCTTGTGACAAATAGATATAGTTAAAACTAATGGTCATATAACAACTTTCTTTTCGTAAGGACAAGATTAGATACGATCAGCGACAATTCAATGGGGACATTTTCGAAAATGGAAGGGCTACCAAGCTAATAAATGAGACCTCTTCTAAACAATGAGCACTTACATTTGTTTGTCGGATTCCGACGCTTCCCTTTTTTATTGGAAGTTCAATTTGTCTTCTACTGCACGCACTAAACAACTAAAAGTTCTTGTAAAGCTGAATTAAGGACATAGCATCAGCGTGTGGCTCACAAAGTTTTCATTAGATAGGGATAACAAAATGGTACTGCACAACCGAGAAACATATACTCCCCCATCCACCTTTGATAGGCTTGCAGGAAAAAGCACATAAGAAGCATAATTGGGAGTGTAAATCTTTTGCTAAGGATACATAATAAATGTACTGAGGAGTGTAAAATCTTTTGTAAACCTTTACCTTCTTCAGTTGTCTTTCCATTAAATTCAACGTCCATAAACTTTTAGTAATCCAACAAATAGAATTAATTGCACAAACAATTGAATAGGAGCACATTAGTCCTTTGTTGTGTAATTAATACTATCAAAATTGGAGCAAGCCTGTAATTTGTCTTATTTCTACAGAAAATTTCATTGGAAACTTTTAACCCTTTTAATTTATTCTCGTTCTTGAGGCAAGTTATACATCCCTCTACAAGAAAGCTGTAAATAATCAACCTAAGCCTCTAAAAAGAAATGATAAGATCACTGAAATTTAAGCTTCACTTTTTCCAGAGCAACCTATTAAATTTCCCTACGAAAGTGAATTCTGAATGTCTGGAAAATAGCTATCATAAATAGTATTGTTTAGTTATTGAAAAAAATCACTTTAGTTCTAGCATTACACAAAAATAAAAACGGAAGTCCAGAGCATAAGATCAAGACTTATTTGGATAGTAAGGTAATAGCTACTATTCTTCATTAAATTGAAAGAAATGCTGGATAAATGAAACTTTAAAAATGAATATAGTAATTTTCTACTTATATAGATAATTAAAAAGGTACATGGAGATTGTATGGTAAATATTGTAGAAAAACGCATCAATTTCTTAGAAACAATTACAATAATACCAACCCGAATCATTAGATATAGCAAATAGCTAGTTAGCTAGAGCACTAAACCTGCCTTGAATATATTTTATATACTAGTTGAGTCACGCCGTGCACGCACGGCGTACTCAAATTTAGTCTAAAAGAGCCCCAAAAAATTGCAGCTTAAAATATTTCTAACCTTATCAATGTATTTGCCTGACTCCAAGAATACATATACAAACATTTGGCAACATTTCAAAAAGTAGATTGAAATTACATGATATTAATCCATCACAAAGGTAGGAGGAGTCCCAACATGATAAAATATCCAACGTTCATAGAAATCATAAAAAGAACGTGTTTGGGGCACAATTAAATCCTAGGTTGTGTTCGAAAGCAGAAATTACCGGTAACCTAATAATCTACCCAATATAACAACATAAACTTTGACTAAATTTTAAACTTAAAAGCAATTCCTTCATACGGTATGAGAGTAAACTCGCAGACTAACCTTTCAACGATGTCATTTCGTTTAAAAAGGCTCCACATCTATAACCTTACATAATTTTCTTTCCTACAATATCCATTTGGTAGTCAACACCACCAGCTCGCATGATTGTGGTGTCATCATTCAGCGGCTTAATGTGTTCCCTCCAAAATGGCAGGAGAATTGGCTAAAATTGCAGATAAGATATAATTGGTGCGTGGTGGAGTTGGTTGGAGGATGGGGGTGGAAGACTGTATTAATGATCTCCAAAACATGGATGCCATACAACAATATGAATGCAGAAATAAGATTACCACATGCAATAACCGAACTATGTGTTGTAGTAATGTTTAGATAATTACACAACTCCATCTCTTGAGTGTCAGGCTGCTCCTCATCATCTCTTGAGTGTAGTAATGCACTTGTCTCGACGAGATCAACTGATGAAGAAACAACTTGAAAAAGAAGCCCAATTCTGTGCATGAGAATGATCTAATGAAAATTGAAAGATGAAAAGCTTTATTACATCTAAGAATGGTGGGCAAGCCAAGCATATAAAACAAGATGATATCGGAATGGGAACACATAAAATGGGGTAACAGATAGGCTTTCAGAAACTAACAAGTTTCGAGATTAAACACATCAAACAAACAATGTGTTCTTTGCTGCTTGTTAGTTGTTACTGTATTTAGTGCAACACCAAAATGGAGATGATTGTTGATAATCCTAAATGCAGTCTCTCAACACAGAAATTTTCCTATAATATGAATATACATATTGAGCAGTATCAAGCAAGTTCAGAAGATTATTATGTAATCAGCACATATCATTAAAACAACATAAACAAAACATAGAAATTCGTGCAGACCCACCCAACTTAAACTCACTACTCACAGAGAGTGAAAGAACAGTTCAAAATTTTAGCAACAAATCTGACAATGACATCACCCGATTTTCAAGTCCCTTCCACATCAGTTTTTCTGTTGGTAGCATTCTTCTGTTGTCACAAAAATTCGTGCAATTTTTCTGCTTTTTGCATCACCTCGTTTATCATCCAATTCCAATTTTAGGCAGATAAACTTCAAGATATTCAAACCATTCCCCAAAAGTCATCTTCTCCAAATCCTTGCTTCCAACTTCAACCAATGTACTCTCTCTTTCGCAAGTAACTCTCTCTAATAACTCAACTCCAACTTCAGATATCCTTTTGTCTTCTCCAAACAAATTTTGCTCCTCCCCAAGTGATTTTCCTTCTCCTTTCCACCCAAAGGTCTTCCCACGGCCGGGTAGCTTTTTTCTCGCTCGTGTACCCTTTCTTGTCCTTTTTCCTTCAATGACACTCAAATTCACTTGACGGCCATCCATATGTCCTCCTTTTCTTAAACTTCTTGTTCTCCGCTGGCTCACATTCCTGATTATTTTCATCCTACTCAACTCCAGAATCTCGACCCCGACTACATTCACATTCTCGGTGTTCTTGGAACTACATCAGGAAAAATAAACAAATTCCTCCTTGCTTCACCTCAAATTCAGCCAACTCAACATTTTTTACAGCATCAGGATAAATAAACAAATTCTCTGAATTCTTATCCTTGGTAGAACTTCTAGTCCTCCTCACACTTACTTTTCAGCTTCCCCATAATCTCACTTTCTTCTTCACTCCCATTTTTTTAAATCCCTAACCCTATCTCGAAACCGTCCTCAATCACACCAAATTCGTGTTAAACTTGATCTAAACCTCGCTAGCCTCGAACCCCACTCTAATCGACGTCCGTTCGCCGAACATGATGACGTCACCGTCCGAGAGAGGAGCTGGCTCGAACGGCTTCAGCGGCGCACTGTTCTGAAACGTGACGCTAGAAGAATAATCTGTGTCGACAAGGGTCCAACGACGGCTCCCGGCTACTTTATCGTCGTCTTCGACGGATGCCGCTTTTGTAGGGGCCATTTCCGTCGAGCTCGGTTCATCGGATGACTGATTTCGGAGGTCCGAGAGTTTAGAAACACAAAATTGAGGGTCACATTTCAAAATAAATATGTTGTGTTTAAAAATATTCATATATATATATATATATATCCAATTCTATAATATAATCAACTTTTATATTTCAATTTTTTTGTTTGTTAATTAATTTTGGTCGTATTTATTAACTTTTCCAAGTTATAAATTAAGGTTTTTAGTTATTTAATAAAAAAATATTGCAATTAATGATCCATCCAAATATTGCAAAATATTAGTTTAAGGAATTAAAATTTACAATTTTTTTAATAATTAAATGAATTAATTTTTTTACCTAAAATCATAACTTTTTTTAATATTTTGAATTTTAGAAATTAAGATGAGGGATTCACCAAACTATAGTCAACAGTTTGCATTGACTAATAACTAGATTTCGATGAAGATTCAACTTGTATTTTGTTGGTTTTTTTGACATTTTCAACTTAAAAGTATTTTTTACAATCATGAATCTTCACAAATGTAAATGAGTCAATGCTTGTGATATCTCCATTTTTTTTTCTCTCACATATAACTAATATTCACTATAAAAGAACCTATTAGCTAGTTATCATGATGAATATTGAATAATGTGAACAAATTAGCACAAAGGAAGTTAATATTATTATTCTGATTTTATACTTATCAATGTGTAAGATAAGTGTGCCAATTTATTCCAACTGATACATTCAATTTCTAATATTTTGGAGTATATCAGATATTAGGATCAGATTCTGGGTGCATTA